ATAATCAATGCCATATGTCTATCTGTCTGAGTATACCTTTTTGCTACCAACCTTGCCTTGTACTTCTCTATCCTTCCATCACCCTTATACTTCACAGTGAACACCCATCTACATCCGACTGTTTTCTTGTCTGGAGGAAGATCAACTATTTCCCAAGTTTGGTTCTTAACCAAGGTTTCCATTTCTTCTTGCATAGTTGTTTTCCACTCAGGTTTGGAAAGAGCATCAGTAACATTCCTGGGTATAGACACAGAATCCAATGAATAAAGAAAAGCTCGGTAGGAGGGTGATAAAGCACTATAGAAAAGATGGTGTGAAATGCAATGGGTTGTACATTTTCTCTTCCCTTTGCGAAGAGCAATGGAAAGATCAAGATCAGTGGGATCAGGTGCAACAATAGTGTTAGGTACAGGAACATTATCATTAGAAGAAATGACATGCTCAGGCTCAAGGGGAATACCTGGAACTGCATCTGTGGAATCTGGAGCTTCAGAAGGACTGGTGGAGAGTGGTGTGGGTTGTGGATGTATGGAGTCAACCATCATCTATCGGTGCCACTTAGGTATAGAAACTGATGAAGGTGTTGCTGATGGGGATGTTGGTGGAGGCACAAAGGAAACAGGAAAAGGAACAGACTGTAAGTTCTCCTCCCCAACACTCTCCCCCTAAGGAGAACCACTTGAAAAGTAGAAGGTAGATTCAAAAAATGTAACATCCATAGTGACAAATCTACTCCTCGACACAGGGTCATAACAACAATACCCCTTTTGGTTCTGAGCATACCCAAGGAAAATACATTTCTTGGCCTTAGGATCCAATTTCTTGTGATTGGGGCCAAGAATGTGAACAAAGGACACAACCGAAAACCCTCAAAGGAATGTGAAACATCTCTGCATCTGGAAAAAGAAGGCTGAATGGAGGAACACGGTTAATCAAGTGCACAATTTTAAGAACTACATCTCCCCAAAAACGGATAGGAACTAAAACACATACAATAAGACTTCTTGCCACTTCCACAATGTGCCTATTTTTTCTTTCTGCTACTCCATTCTGTTGCGGTGTATGCGCTCTAATGAATTATACATTGCTCCAAAAAGTATGTTGTCAAGTCCTTCTCAAAATACTCTCTAGCATTATCCGATCTGAAAGCCTTAGTTCTTACTCCAAATTGTGTGAAAACCATTTGATAGAATTGTCGGACCAAGTTAGGGACCTCATCGCGGGATCTCATCAAATATATCCAAGAATACCGTGTGTAATCATCTACAAATAGGAGAATATAACGGTAGCCAGTCATGCAAGGAATATGATACGGTCCCCATACATCAGTGTAAACAATATTAAAAGCAAACACACTTCTTTTATCACTTGGTTTAAAAGAATGTCTACAATGTTTTCCCAACTGACAACTCTCACACTCCAAGGTAGATAACTGAACAAACTCAAATAACTTTGGAAGAATAAATTTTAAAGAACTAAAAGAAAGATGCCCCAGCCGATTATGCCAGAGCATAACCTGACTCACTAATTCTAATCTACTACTGTTGTTGCAATTAACATGATGACTCTGATATCTCGGAATCTCATCCAGAAGATAGACTCCATTCACCTCACGGCCACTCCCAATCATCTTCTTTGACTCCAGATCCTGCAAAACACAATTACCAAGAAGGAAAGTCACTGAACAATTCAGATTTTTTTTCAAAGAACTAACTGAAAGTTAGTATGAAGTTTAGGGACATGTAAGACAGAGGATAAAGTAATATCATTGGTCACTCTAACTGTTCCCTTCCCAACAATGGGAATATGAAAACCATCTATTGTAAAGACTCTGTCTCTACCAGAGCACAATTGATAAGAACTGGAGAGGGTAAGGGCATTAATCATGTGCTCAGATGCTCCTGAGTCTATAATCCAGGGAGGTTCGTCCTTACCTGAAGTGGATGCAAGGTTTGCAGTTGCATATGAGCTACCTGTATGTGCCAAAGAGGTGGTGTAGTTGGCTCCTACACTCTGTTGTCCGTCCGGAAGGCTAGAACTAGTTGCATCTTTTTCTCATGAGCTGTCCAAACCTTTCCAGTTCTGTTCTCACAACTACTACTGCAATGGATTCCCAATCAATTTGGGAAAGAGGGGCCGAAGAGTCTCCTGTAGTGGCCACATTCGCATTTCCCTTCTTTTTCTTGATTCGAGCAGGCATAAGTTGTGGATGGAGTTTCCAACAAGTATCTCTGGTATGCTTAGGCTTCTTACAGTAATCACACACCAAGTCCTTCTTATCCTCCCCCCTAGTCTCACTGCTCCCTCTATCTCCATTCGGTTTAGGCTTGGATGTACTAACCATGGCCGACTGGTCAATCCCACGCTGTCTCAACATGACATTCCTCCTATTTTCCTCTCCAGAAACAAAGGCATAGGCTTGAGAGAGTGTCACACTCTTCCTAGAGAGGATATACTGTCTTGCAATGTCGAATTCAGGGTTCAGCCCTGCCAAGAACTCAAAAACCCTATTTTTTTCTACCAATTTCTGATAGGTTGCTGCATCATTGACACTTTCCCATATCACAATTTCTTAGTGGTCTATTTCCTGCCATAGGGTTTTCAGCATGGAGAAATACATAGCAAGAGGTTTATCTCCATGTTTTATACTAATCACCTGATCTCTTAGTTGATAAACTTTGATTACATTTTGTTTCTGAGAATAGGTTTCGGTTGCTCCATCCCAAATCTCTTTAGCAATATTAGCCCACAAATTTTTTTTCCAATGTGAGGTAGCATAGAATTACATAGCCAAGACATCACCATGTAATTCTCTTGTACCCAGCGAGAGGAATCTATATCTGGTTTCCTTTCCTCCCCAGTGATGTACCCTAACTTTCCACGGGCACCAATAGCCATCTTGGCAGATTGTGCCCATTCTAAATAGTTTGTTCCATCCAGTTTTACTGTAGTAATAATTCCAAACCCAAAAATATCATTACCACTTCCAACACCCAGTCCCATGGTACCGGTGGATTTCAGCTCGGTATTCCAATTCTCCATCTTACTTCAAACAGTTTAATAGACTGAAAGAAGAAAGTTGAGAGCTTCCAAGAACAATTTTAAGAAACACGTATAGAAACAAACCCTTCCAAGAAAAGAAAAACCCTAACCGGAGAGAAAACTCGTTGTTTCATTGTTTATATCTTATTTGTCACTTATTATCAAATATCAACAAAGTTATAGTTACCAATCAAAAAATAATAATGTTGCAGAAAGGGGCAAAGAAACAATTAGTAAATTTAAAGCGAAGAGTTGATAAAAATAAAATAGATTGTTTCCAAAACACTACACTCTAAAGGAACATGTAAACATTCACTTATGAAGAACAAAAAAATTGAAGTCTCAAAGCTAAAGAAAAATTGAAAAAAATAAAATAAAATTCACAAACTACTGGAAATTACAAGAAGTTGGGCAGCCACCTTGAACACTGATATAGTTATGCAAGACAAGCAAGGTCCAATGACTATAATATTTGTTTTGGGGTTTAGGGGTTTAAGAAGGAAGTAGGGGAGATTTTAGGATAGGTTTCAAGGCTAAAATAAGGATATCATCCAGTCTACAAACGTTCTTGGGCTTGCAGTCAGCAAACTGAAGAATTCTTCATTATTCAAAGTAAGTTCACCATTGTTTTATATATCACAATCTAGATGTGATTTTGGCTATTTTTAGTAATTTTGTTTGTGATTAATTTAATTTCAAAGATCTAATTTAATGATTTTCTTCTATAGATCTAAATATTTAATTATAATATTTTTAATGATATTGTTATTTTGAATTCGTATTGTTTGAAAGATTCTTTCTTTTGTTCTTTGAGTTGTTTCAAATCTTGTCTTTTCTTTTTAAATGGTTAATTGAATCACCTTTAAATTATGCATTGTATTTGAATATAGAAAATCATGAGAAAAACAAAATGTAGATAGACATAGTTGTGATAATAATAAAAGTTATGTGAATTAGGTAGGATGTGCCCTGATAACCTAATTTGTAATTTCGATGTATGATATTATTTGCTAACAAGGAAATGAGGAGCAATAATTGAAGTAATCACCACGAGGGTGTTGCAATGAGTGAAGTCTTTTAAGCTATCTGAAGATATTTCCACAACAACTTTGCTGAACAACTGGAAGGAAGTGGCTTGGTCAGCTCCTAACAAGAGTGTTCTTCATCCATTGTGGACTGTTCCAACTCCCGTTTCAAGCTAAACTTTGATGGCAGAAGTGAAGGAACCCCGGCCCTTCAAGCCTTGGAGGGTTATTTAAGAATCAGGTGAGCAAGATTATTGCTATGTTCTCAGGTCCAATTGGGGAAGGAGACTCTCTCCGAGCTGAAACCCTAGCTGTTTTGGAAGGTGTCAAAAGACTAAGGAGCTCAACTTAAGGAGGTTAGTTATTGAGGGAAACTCGAAATTGGTAATAGATTGGCAACAAAAAGAGAAGAGATAGCACGTGGAGTTACACATAAATGAGAAAAGGATCATCAAATGGTTGATTTGAGATATGACAGTGAGGTTACAATGGGTAAAGAGGTGTGCTAATTCCTTTGCAGTTGCACTAGCCAAACAAGGGGTGGGAAGGAATCAATTGTTCTGGGCTTACATGTAATATTTTAATTTTGGGGGGAGTTAAGAGAGTTTATCTCCCCCTGCCTTTGTACCTACCTTTCTTTTTTCATTAATGAAATGCTTCTGTTACTGATCAAAAAAAAAATGTATGATATTCTTTCAGGTGGCTTTTGCTATGTAGGAAATTATTTACTGGGAAAATAGATATTTTTCAGTAAAATGGTATTAATATTTTCTCAGTATAATCATTTTCCCCTGAACCACCTCTTCCCCAGGCAGCATACAAGCAATGTAGGATGTTCAAATAGTTGACCATGTAATACAAATTGCCAGAAAAAATAAAGCATATATCTGATAACAGTACATAACTCCAAGGGCAAATAAGAAATATAACAACCTCAAACCAGTTATTCAAAACCTTAGATGCTGGGGATAAGAGAAGATCCATGAAATCCCTGCCAGAATAATTTTTAAAGCATGTTAAAAATGCAAAGAGACTAGAAAGTTAATGAAGTATATTTTTCACCATGTTTCACAGGTCAGATTTTTCCCTGATTGATAACAACATTATAGAGAACATAATGGGGAAAAAGGAACTCATTAAGTGATCCACATAGTTGGGATAAGCATGATGCTACCTCAGTTATAGCTAAAAAGATATGAGGATCAATAAAAGATATTCAAAATGGGAGAAAATCTACCAGTTGAAAGGAAAGGGAGGCAAGCCAGGGTGAAAAAAAAGTTACTGGGTCGATTTGTTTTTCACCCAATAATATAGCAAAAAGGAACAGATAGGTAAAACTTTTGTAACTAAAATAATGAAGACTTACACCATGTCTTTTTGCCAGAGGAAGATAGCCCGTCGGAAACAATGAGCCCAAAATATTGATTTTTGTAATTTGTCCCTCATCCGATCAGTGAAGGACAGAACCTTGTGTGAAACTTCAGGTGTTGGTGAATCCAAAAGATAATCCATGAAACTACAGAACCTTTGTAGCTGATTCTCATATCTGCATGTTAGAAAATCACTTATAAGATGAACAACATAAAGTAACAAGTCAAGGATGTGGAGACTATGAACAAAGTATCTAGATATTAACCCAGAGAAAAATGGACTTATAAACCAAAGATCAACATCTTCAAGAGTACCTAAACAAGAACAATCATGATCAATTATAGACTATGAGCGATAGTGATCAAAATTAAAAACTCAAAATATTAAGTATGTAAATATGTTTTATAGTTGTGAATTTTGCCTTCAACTTCATGATGCAATTGTTGGATATTTACTTTTACTATTCCTTCTTATCACCTTCTGTTGTTTAATTTCAAACATAATTTCTTGGACAAAATTTTAACAAGACTCTCCATGGGTTCTTCGATATGAGAACTTGAATATTGTCTTCAATACCAATTTCATGATATTACAACATTTCCTCCAACAATACCATAGCTTTGGTTCAAGAGTGTTCCTGCCATTTGGAAAGTGAAAAGAGTATTATCCTTAGCTACTCCTTTTTCCTTGTAAGTATGGGCAAACACTACGGGAAGAAGAATATAGGAACATGTTGATTACAAGTTACAGAGAAAATAGTATGGAGCGTTTGATCATAGTCTGGAGAGACTTCAACCTATCACCTTATATAAGACCATATCCTTCCTCTATGCCCTACAATTTTCGCTTGAACAGTCTGGCAATATAACTTCTGATTATTACTTCTGCCAGACTAGGTTCTGGTTGGTTTTGAACACAGTTCAATAGAGAGAATTACTGTTTTGTACGATGTTTAGCTCTGGCATGCCAAGGTAGTGATGAACTCAGTTCGACTTCACGAATGGGATGGCAAAACAACGAACAAAAGGTGTCGATTATCTACGGAGCGAGACTACTATCGGAAAAGTCGGACTACCTCGGGTATGCTTCGGCATCCTGTTTGGAGAACTTAGAAATCTCGGAATGATTAAGTTCTGCGTCAGGTCCCAAAAGAAGGTAACGTCCATCGAGACATGGTGTGAACGACGAAGGATTCCTCTTCAGCAATTTCAAGCCATGCCTTCCCAACTCAAGTTCCCTTTCAAAACCAGAAAATAAAATAGCATTTATGAATTTGTAGTGAAAGGATAGAGATGTAGAGAAAGGATAGACACGAAGGAATAAAGATACAGACCTTATAACGGAGGGGCGAAGTAGGCTCTGGAGATAACTACATCGGGAGAACTTGAAGCCAGGGACAAGCTCCTCAGTGACGGCTGCACCCCCAATGAGGTGGCGCCGCTCGAGAACGGCCACAGACAGGCCAGAGCGAGCAAGGTATGCAGCCGCAGTCAAGCCATTGTGACCTCCGCCGATGATCAGGGCGTCCCATTTCTTCCCCTTGGATGTAAACGCCGCGGGGGCGCTGGTGCTGGTGCTGGTGCTGGTGCTGAAGATCCTTCGCCACATGCTCGGTTTCTCTCACTCTCCCGTCTTCCCGTTGCAGAGCTCACTGCAACAAATTCTGCAACTTGGGTTTATTGAATTCCGGTTTTGTTTTGGGCTTTCAGGTCTTATTTTACTTCATTTGCTCTACACTCTACAGTCAAATAAAATACGGAAAAGTACGGATTGCAGATTGCTGAATTCCACAACAAACCTATAAACATTAAAAAATGTCAAATACTAATTTTTCTATGCATCAATGCCTGCCCTGCCAATCAATTCCAAATGGGGATTTTGATATTTTGAATGTTTATAATTTATAGTAGAATTCAGAAATCTGTATTGAGCATATTTATATTTTTCGTTTATTATATTTTATTTATTATGAATGAGATGATTTTTCAAACTATTTGTTATTCTTTGAATATTACGAAAAACTAATTGTTCTTTTCAATTAATCTGCGGTGCAAGTAAATGAATTTATTTTATTTTGTGATGGAGGGTTCATTAAATAAGTTTCTAGTAATTTGCTGTTGTCTGTAATAATAGATTGGGTTTTTGTGCAAGTTCAGTTGGTCCTTCTATTTTGTTCTCGAGGTATAGTTGAGGTGGCGGAATTAAGGGCTAAAATGTTAAGGATGTAAAAGTTTAAAGTTAGTTCGGTTTTATCGATGTTTTGATGTTGCGTAAATCAAAATTGATGTAAAATTCTGGTTTAGATTTGTCACTGTTTAAATGTACTGGAATTTTATATTGTAAATCGATGCAAAATCTCGTTAAAAGTAAAGTTTTACATCGATTATTGATGCAAATACTACATTGATAAAAATTGATATAAAAACTCGATGCTTTTCAAAACACAATGGTAACATTTTTACGTTCGGTGTAAAACCTCATTGATGTACTTTTACATCGTTGATGTTTTACATCGCCTCCAAATACAACCTTAGACTTTCTTTCGGTTGTTACTAGCTTGACTTCTACATCATCTTTAATTCTTTGGTATTTTGAAATATACTTGATGAAGGAAGATTTGGCCCGACCTCGTAATCACTCAACACGTGGCAAAGGCAACAGCTCGGCACAACAGTATGCCCGAGGCGCGAGCTCCGAAAGGAGGAACCAGCGGTCCGAACTCCCTACAAGGAGCCCGAACTCCCCGCAAGGAGCCCGAGCTCTCCCTTAGGCCCCGAGCCTTACAAACACAAAGGGTAACAACCCGAACTGGCCTGCCCCATGTTAGTTCGGGACACACCTCTATCCGAACTCAAGACTTCACCTCACTCACCACTCCAGCACTTTGCCTCCAGGATGCCGAACTAAACAATCGTACCATGCCTGACACCGAGGAAGTCCGTATCCAGGGGCGGCGCACCTGACTGACTTGGGATCTGACGCTTGACAGCCGCACTTCAATGGCCACCTGCCACCGCCATCTCCAGTTACAGAGACGGCTCCGACAAAAAGAGCAGTGGCGGTTCTGCCCCAGCAGAGGCGATGACACCCGAACTGGCAGGAGCGCAGAGATAATCATACCCGACCTGACAAAAGCTTAGGAGTGAGTGCGCGAAGTGGTTATAAAAGGCTCCCTACCCCCCAAGAACAAGGTATGTGAACTTTGCGCCATCTGGTTTTATCTTGCCTTTGAAAGAAGACTAACTTGAGCTTCGAAGCAATCTCACCGGATTCCTCCCGGAGCTTCCTAATCTACTCTGTTTCAGGCTCCCTGCTGCTCCAATCAGAGGCAAGGTCGTTGACAGCTAGGACCGGCCGGATTGCGCACCATCAATTGGCGTCGTCTGTGGGAAACGCTTCTAAAAGCCTCCCTCTAAAACTCTCATAACCACCTTTTTTCCAAAAAACCCCAACATTCATGGCTTCTTCCAGCAACGCCGGACGTGGCACGGAGATGAACACCACCGGGGAACAACTTCAAGTCCCCATGGTATGCTTCGGGCAGTTCACCATCCCCCTTCAAGTCAAGTCCCCGTGGCCTGCCCCGTAAACCTTCCCACCATGAATGTCCCCTTTCCACTCCCTATCGAAACAACCTTTACTGAACCAACTGCTGTCCCCCTAGCGACTAGCCAGAGCCAGTTTGACGACCTGATGTAGTGCATGCGGGCAATGCAAGCCCAAATGCAACAGTTCCAGTAGCATCAACTCCAACAGCACCAAGTACTGCACCACCTCTCTCAATATCACTATCAGCAGCAGTTCCCCCAACTGCCTATGAACCAACCGCAGCTTCCACCTCGGCACCCTGCTCCCAAGCCAGTTAAGGCTTCCCCTCAGGGTGGACGCCATCACCAAGGAGAAGCCTCCCAACTTCAGAACCCCCCTAACAGCCAGGCCTCATCCCCGGGCCGAAGGGAAGAAAAATCACCCCCGCCTCGCAGCTCGCAGGCGGGTGGGGAACCTCGCTCGCAAAGTCATCACCTCGGCGCTCCAAGCCTGAGTTCCCGCTCACAGAGAACCGATTCAGCGCCCTAGCAACGGACTACCAACATTCCAGGCCCATCGAGCTCGGCAACACAGAGGCCAACAGCGCCAGTACCAGGCTCACTCAGCAACGAAGGCGCCAGCGAAGTTGCCGAACTGCCACCCAGTCCTGCCCGAGCTCAAAGGTAAAGAAGAGACAAGCTCGGACGAGGTAAAAGCTGCCCCTATTCTCTCAGTTCTTTCCCTCCTCTCATCAGAACTCCTTGTAGTCCCCATGCCCAGAGACTTCAAACTCCCCTTTAGACAAATATGATGGGTCCTTCGACCCCAGCGACCACGTCGATGCTTTCTAATCCCAAATGCACCTGGCAAGGGCCAGTGAGTCGTGCATGTGCGTGGCCTTCACCACCACTTTCAGGGGGGTGGCCCGCACCTGGTACAGGAACCTGGCCCCCGGGTCAATAAGAAGCTGGACCCAATTTGTGCAGGTCTTCACCGCACACTTCGTTACCAGCAAGCGGTGCCCCAGAACCGAGGAAAGCATCTTCGGAGTGGTTCATAGGGAAGGAGAGTCCATTCGGGGCTACATCAAGCGGTTCAATGACGCGTGTTTGCAGATACCGCGACTGGACCCCGCGGTACAGCTCGTGGCAGCCAAGAGAGGAGTAACAGACAAGGAGTTCAAATGGCACATGGTAGCCAGCCAGCCCGCGACCATGGCCGAATTCCTCAAGCTCGCGGATAAGTTCATGAGAACAGAGGAAGAGATCAACCAAAGGACCGAAGGCGGAATCGAGAAAGGGAAAAGAGAAGGCGAGCCCTCCAACCCAGGTGACAGAAAAAACCCGGCCTGATAGGCGAAGCCAAGCAAGCCGTCCCGAGCTCCCTTAGCAGCTCAGATGGACTACACACTCTTAAACACGAGGCGGACTGAGATCTTGATGATGATCAAAGACGCCCCATACGTAAAATGGCCACCTCGCCTAAAGGGGAACCCAAACGAGAGAAATAAAAATTTGTACTGTAGTTTCCATAGAGATCACGGTCATAGTACCGAACAGTGTAATAATCTCCGAGACGAGATAGAGGGAGTCATCCGTCGCGGGTACTTAAGATTTTTTGTACATAATAATAATAATAATAATAATAATAATAATAATAATAAGATAGGCCGGCAAGGGGAGCACAGTAAGGATGTTCCTGAATCCCGCAGCAGGCCAGCCGAACCATCGCAAAGACAGCCTCCGAAAGAGAGGCCAGTTCGGGGAACCATCCACGTAATAGTAGGAGGTTCAGTGGTAGCAGGTTGTACTTCGGCGGTGGCCCGGACATCAGTTCGCGAAGCAGCCCGAGAAGAACAGAACCCTTCAAAGAGGCCGAAGACGGAAGAACCAATCTTCTTCACGGAAGATGACGCGCGAGGTGTCCACTACCCCCACGATGACACGCTTGTCATAAAACTAAGGATCAGCGACTTCAAAGTCAGGCGTGTACTTGTGGATTCAGGTAGCTCGGCAGACATCTCTTCAAGTCGGCATTTGACCAGCTTCGGTTGCAAAGAAGCGAGTTGAAGCCCGCGAACACTCCTCTGGTGGGCTTCAGCGAAGAGGAAGTCAGGCCCCTTGGGAAAGTAACAGTACCTGTGGAAGTCAGCACATGGCCTTGTGTGGTGAGACTCAACCACGATTTCCTGGTGGTCGCGAACCCCTCCCCATACAATGCCATAATAGGGGGGCCAATTACGCATGTCCTACGGGCAGTGGTCTCCACCTACTATTTGGCAATGAAGTTCCCTACAGACTTCGGTGTGGGGGTAGCACGAGGCGACCAACTTGAGTCCCGCAAGTGTTATGTTGCCGCCCTGAAGGGAAAAACCAAGGCGGCCGACGACCTCGAGCTGGAGCGGCCTACAGAGCAGGGCGAGGAACGAGCATCGCCCACAGAGGAAACGGTCGCAATCCCGACTTCGGCTACGGATCCGGCTCAAACGCTACAGATCGGTGCTTCCGTCAAGGAGCCTCTACGAACCGAACTGGTGAGTTTTTTACTTCAAAATTTAGATGTTTTTGCATGGTCCGTGGCCGATATGCCCAGTATTGACCCTAGCCTTATAACTCACAAACTTAATATTGACCCTGTAGTCAGACCCATTAAACAGAAGAAACGCAACTTAGCCTCGGAGCGCTGGAGGGCGGTCGACGAGGAGGTCGAAAAGCTCCTCGCAGCGGACTTCATAAGGGAAGTTCATTACCCAAGCTGGGTAGCCAACCCAGTGCTGGTGAAAAAGGCAAACGGCAAGTGACGCATGTGCGTCAACTACACCGACCTGAACTGAGCTTGCCCAAAAGACTGCTTCCCCCTCCCCAAAAGTGACCGCCTAGTGGACGTGACCTCAGGACATGAGCTGCTAAGCTTCTTGGATGCCTACTCAGGTTACAACCAAATCAGGATGGACCAGTCCGATGAGGAAAAAACCAACTTCATTACCGAGTTCGGCCTGTACTGCTACAAGGTCATGCCCTTCGGACTAAAGAATGTTGGGGCGACCTTCCAAAGACTTGTGAATAAGCTGTTTCGGCCCTTAATTGACATGAAAATAGAATGTTATGTAGACGACATGGTTGTCAAGACGCAGTTTTCACAAGAATTAATACAAGACTTAGATTCTGTCTTCCAAATTCTGCGTCAATTTAGCATGAAACTGAACCCAAACAAATGTGCCTTCGGTGTCACATCGGGTAATTTCCTAGGCTACATTGTCAACCGGCATGGTATTGGGGCCAACCCAGACA